ACCCCCCACACCCCACCACCACCACCCTTCTCTCCCCCTCTCTGCAAACCTACAGGCCTTGCCACATCCAGGAGCAGGAGGGTTAACACCTGGCACTTTCTGACTGGTTAGTGCCAGTGCTATTTGGAACAGGGAGAGTCGGTAAGGGCAAATAACAAAGGTGTACAATCTCATTCACTTTTCAACTATGAATGTAAAAGTTGGTATAAAGTATAAAAGGTAGAAGTTACTTAATTTGAAAAGGCCCTTTCAAGCAAAGGACTTGATCTTCAGTCTCCTCTTACACCAATTTTGGTTTCCTTTCTCCCTGCCTACACTTCCCATGCTAATTCTTTATGATTTTTTTTCCATGACCCCAACATGTTTAGAAATAACTCCAACTCTTGAAACCATTGATTCATCACTAGTGCCTGACTGCAAAACACCCAGGGCCAAAAAAATCTTTGAAAGAAGCTCTTTTCAAGAATCCTTCATTAATTTACAAAACTCATTTTATCTTATCTTTGCAACAAACTCAATATGCTGTGTAACATACCCATTTGACAACCTATATTCCAAAATTCTTGAGGATTAAAATTAGAAGAGTCTGCTCTTGTTGCTTTGGGATATATTCTGGTAATGAAGTCCTTGGTGTGAAGAATAAAATCATGGGCTAAAAAATGAATTATTGAAACAGTGAAAATTCTCAAATTAAATAAACTACTTTGTGTATATATTCTATAATTCTACCATAATTTCAACAATTTCTATATGTATTGTCTTGGAAAAAATATTTGCAATTCACACAAATCAAAATAAACCCATGCCTTTATGTTTGACAGTGTAATTCACTATTATTGAGAAAGTAATAATAATTTATTATACATAAAATTTTATGCACTCTAATCATTCACTTGTGAAAAAATGATTAGATAACATATTTGGAGGAATTTTTATATTCAAATTAATTTTACTTTGACATAAGGATGTACAAAATTTCAAAATAAAATGCATTCATTTTTAAAAATAAAAGTAGTATCATTCCACATTTTGCCTTTCTTTGGTTTTCATATTAGGACAGAATCACATATAAGTTATATAAAGCTATGCGATGCTGTACAAATTAACCCAATTGAATATTTAATAGATTCTCAGGGTTGAGAGAGACCATAAAGTTATCCAATTCAGCTGCCAACACCAACCACCACCACATCTTCCCCANGTTGAGAGAGACCATAAAGTTATCCAATTCAGCTGCCAACACCAACCACCACATCTTCCCCCCAAATTCATTCAATTTCTATTTGCATCCTTCCATTGAAAGAGAACTTGCTATCTCCCAATACTTCTGGTTATTTCATATATTTTTCTTACTGAGATAAGGTCTATAGTTGTAGTGTACACATGCACACATACACAGTCTGAGTTTATATATAACATGTTTTTATAAGTTTCTATTTTTATTTTATGACACTTTGTTTTTTTATTTAAATCAGTTTTTAATTTTTCACTTATAGTTGACATACAATATTATATTAGTTTCAGGTGTATACCACAATGATTGGACATTATATAACTTACTAAGTGATCATTCCGATTAATTTTGTACCCATCTGGCACCATACGTAGTTATTAGAATATTATTGACTATATTCCTCATGCTGTACTTTACATCCCCATGGCCTTTCTGTAATAACCAATTTGTACTTCTTCATCCCTTCATCTTTATATATTCTATTTAAATCATTTGAGATTCAAAACTAATTTATACCCTTTATCATTGGACACCCCTTCAAATTTTTTAACAAAAATTTTATGTCTCTCCAAGGTATCTATACTTTCACTAGGCAGACCTGTTCTCACAACCATTCTGCTCGTACAGCGACCAGGCATGGGATAAGCGGTTAATGCCGATGGCCCGCTATATTTGCTAGTCAAACTAGAACGGAATCATTGCCACCCTCATTCTGAATATTATTCTTTAGGAAGCATAGTATTATCAAGAAAAAAATTAGTTACTGAAGTTAACATGAATTACAGTTAACTTCATCAGCTCTCATTTTTAGAAGTTATACACTCCTTGAGACAAAACTGTATTTTGAAGCTACTCATTTATAAATGCATCATGTGTATCCTAGTATCATGATCCCTTATACAGTCCTCAACTAGGTGTTTATCCTTAGGTAAAACATACACTCTTCTGGCCTTAATTTTTCCTATCTACAAAGTGATAAGCATGAAGAATCACTAAGAACTCTCAACATAATATGATTTTGTTATTTCTGTGATTAACCTTTAGAAATTAAAACATGCTATGTTATTACAAATGCAATTCATGTTAATTTTAAGTAAATGAGAAAATCAAATTAAAAAAATAAGAAATAAAACCACATATAATCTCGTCACTGAATTAAAGNAAAATCAAATTAAAAAAATAAGAAATAAAACCACATATAATCTCGTCACTCAATTAATAACCACTGATAACATCTTGGTATAAATCTTTCCATTCTTTTGTTATATGTACATGCTTATTTTTAATTGAATCATATTGTTTATTCCCTTTTATGAACTTCATTTTTTACTTAACATGAAAATTATTTCACTTCAATAATATTCACCTATCACATTATTTTTAATGACTAAAAATATTTATATATATGAAAATTTCTGTTTCTTATTTTTCCTTATTATAAACTTAATGTTTAATATGTTTTTAACAATGATGAACATCCTTGCAGTACACCTTTGCCCATATCACTATTTACTATTGACTTTGAGTTCAAGAAAAATACTCTATACTTTTTCCAAAGAAATAGTGATCCTACACTTTATAACTCTGCTCAGAATCACCGAGTCCCTTTTCAGAGTTTAAGTTTAATACAATGAGAACAAGAGAATTATTATTACTTTTGCTGCACCCAAAGGTCTTGTCCCCATGAACAACAACAGAAACCATTCAATAGTTTGAAAGGACAGGAACTAATAAAGCAGATCATTCAAATTCAAACTCTGTTGACAAGACTTTACAGTGAAAAATATATTTTATATCACAGCCCAACACATACACAATTATAAATTATAAATAAAATAATACTTATTCTTACTGCATACAAAATACTCTATTCCATTCCATTCCATTACATTATTTTAACTGTGGTCCATCCCTACTGAAGTGATTTTTTCCCCCCAATCTTTTTAAAAACAAAAAGGCCCTAAAATATCCAGGGTCTCTCTAATAGGTAGTTTAAGGAGATGAGCTAAAATATACCTCCAAATCTTTGGGTACCGATGGCCAGCCTAATGAAGTTAACCAACAAATATATCAAAATTCACATTTCCAAACAGCCAACAGCCTTTCTCAAGTCAGCTGCAGGTGCTGATTTTCATGCCATGGTGTTTTTACACAAGATGATAGATAGCAATTGCTCAGAAGGACTTGGAGAGTGACCTGAATGTTGAGTTAATGACCCATGTTTTTTAAGTTGAGGTTATCCCACCATATAAGTCTGAGAAGAGGGTAGGGTCTGCTTCCCATTCTCTTTCCCAGGTTTTGTTGCCTCTTGGGCTCTACCAAACAGAATAACCCACCTCAGATTTAGAATCATAACACATAAAAGAAGATGCAAAGACAAATATCCCTCTACAGGTGTGCTTCAGCAGTGCACACCCTGCACAGCCACCTGGTAGTCTGGCCTGGTGCCATTTCCTCCCACTCCTTCACCTCAGACAAACAGCCTCCAGGTCTACTTAACTCTTCCTCTTAGATGCTTTCTGAGTCCACAGACTTCACCCTGATTCCACTCTCACTGCCATAAGCCTTCATCATCTCCTCCCTGCAGGCAGCCGCACCTTTATGCTGCTATCAGAGGCATCTTTCAGAAACACACGAAGGATCATATAACTCCTGAGATTTCAATCTTCTCCTGCTCACCTTTGATTCAGGACAAAGTTCAGGTTACTTGTAACTTGCTCTGCTTTCCTGTGCAGCCTTGTCACTCTCTGCTCTCCCATATAAACTACTCACCACAGCCCCACCCACCAAAGTATCCACACTAGACATTCTCAATCAAAATTTCATGATTTAAAGGAGTTGATTATTAGTTGAGTTCTGTGAAATAAAACATAATGTACTTGAGGCATATAACCTTTTTTAAATTATGTTAAATACATTGAAATTTTATGAGAACATACTTTTTATAAATACCATTGACCCATCTTGACATCTTAGCAGTGACTATAATGTTTAAGCATTTCATCTGTTTGAATCATAAGAATTTACCTCTCAACTTGGAAAGTTTTCGAGCTCTTGACTCCCCAATAGAATTACTTTCATTAAATTTTTGATTCTGTCTTGAATAGCGAAAGTTTCTGAACTTCTCAGCTTTAGTATAAATGACAAGATCAGATAGGGCCACAGCCACTTTTACCTTTGTGGTGTAAAAATAAAGCAGTAATTTCACATTTTTGCACTAATAATTTGAATTTTTTTCAACAAAGAAAATATGCTTTCAAATCAATGATTTTGGTCTTTTCCTAAGATTCTCTCTTCAAAAGCTATTTTAATTAGGTCAATGGGATTATTTTTTGTGACAGTATTTAATGTTAATATGAAAGAGCTCAAACCTAAAATCCTAATTAATGTCACAAGTATTGAGGATGGCAATTACTATTATTTTCTTTTTCCCCAAAGACTTGCTTATTCTCATGAATTTACAAATTTAGGAATCTTAGTCTTGAGTACGTCATATGTCCAGGATGATCTAGCATTTTGGAGTAACTTCCATTGTATAGTGTGCACTGGCTCTTTTACAGCCCTGCATCTAAATCCTTCTGTTGGCCTCTTCCCAAGTTTTGCTTTGGGAAAATAATTCTTGCTCATATTAAATCTATGTGCTTAAGTATTGATAATATAAACTGGGCCTGACTAATCAAAGCTTTGCCTTCCTGTAGCAAGAGTAATTGGTTCAGGGATGTGCATATAACTGGGTCATAGCCAATGTACAAGAAGAATTTGCTTGGTCAGCTGAGAGATACATAGGCCTCCCTCTGGATTTGAACCTGAAAGCATATACAGCTCTGCAAAGTCTTGCATCAATATAGAGAAAGTGAAGTTAAGTTGGAGAAAAAATAAAGTTCTGTGGACTTTGCTTGAGAAACAATCCAAGTCATTCTTGAAAATAGAATCCCTTCNGTTAAGTTGGAGAAAAAATAAAGTTCTGTGGACTTTGCTTGAGAAACAATGCCAAGTCATTCTTGAAAACAGAATCCCTTTCCCTAAACTTTTCATTTATGTGAGCCAATTAATTAACTGGGCCAAAAAATTAATTACTTTTACTTAAACCAGACAAATTAGTTTTGTGTTACTTGCAAGCTGATATAGCTTCTTGTGTCATGATATTTGTATACTTATAATCCTATATTTTATAAATAGTGATTTCCTTATCTCTCACAGTATGATCTCCTTGAGGGCAGAGACATTGTGTTGTTTGTATCTTTTGTACGCTGCACAATGCCTAGAGTATAAGAATACATAACACTTGTCACTATAGAGAAAAAGTATAAAAACAAACAGGAAGAGAGATAACCTTTAAAAATTTTTTTCCATTGCTGATTTTTTCCAAAACAATTTTAAATGATAGACTAAAGTTTCTATAAGGAGAAAAAAGAAAAAAAAGATTTTTCACTCCAAAAAAAAAAAGTTTACTTCTCCACCAATAAGAAAATAAGACAACTTTTCAGTGACTTGGAAGATTTGCTCAAATCATGACCTCACCTTCTTTTTCTTGAAAAGTGGTAATCCAACCACACTTTTTTTTGACTCCAGTTCATTTCCTGGAGTGTCTTGCAAAGTGACCAGTGATTCCGAATCTTTCTCCTCGTCTTCGTCTTGCTCTGTCTCTTCATATTCTTCATATTCCTCTACCTGGCCACGCTTATCGAAGCCTTTCCTTGCGTGGGTTTCTATTAAGGTTCCTATTTTCTTGTTTCTAATTAATATTTTGAATTTTAATGCCTACAGAAACAATTTAAAAGACAGGCACAAGTACACGTTACAGGTATGTTTGCATCTGTAATAGTCATTTAAAAGTCTTTCATCATATTTCCAATTAGCTCACAGAAGTAAGATATGTAAGAGCTCCATCTTTCCCATACCTCCGTAAATACCCTAAAAGACACCAGTGATGTTGTGGTATTGACCAAAATCCACCAAAAAAATAAGCCCGTTATGATTGGGACTTGCTGTAGCTTCACTTCTTTTACATTCCATAAATTTCTACTATTTGAAAAATTTGAAATGCATGAGTGTGTGTTACAAAAGTTAGAATGTTACAACTTCTGGTAGTAAATGCTTCAGGTCATCACTAATTTATCCAACAATAAAAAGTATTCAAAGAGATCAGGTATATAAAAATGTCTAGTGTAGTGTCTGGCATCCAGTATAAACTAAATTTAAATTAAAGATGTGTGAATTGTTCTTCATATTTCAACTGTATTGCCTACAGGCATCGTCAGCTTAATATTTCCTACCCATCAAAACTAGCAGCATGACAAAATTCATCATCAGGGCCATTCATTCTAAATCCAAAGCCTTCTGGTTCCCATCTTTTACTTAGTTATTTCTGCCATTTTAAAATATTTATTAAATAACAAATATATGTATTAAGTGTCTGTATGTGGTATGCAATGCTGCTGAAATCTGGTCTATGAAGTTCTTCACAGAGCTGTGACTAACCCTTCCCTTTGTCATCCTCAGGTACCCGTTCAAATTATTCCATCATCTCGAGCCTTCTCTCTTTTACCATGGCCCTTACATTACTCTCTAAAACAGAGTTTACCAAAGTGTATTCTGCAACTACATGTATCAAAAGCATCACTTGGGATGCTTGTTAGAGGAAGAGATTCCTGCCCTGGCCAGTGTGGCTGAGTTGGTTGAGCATCAGTCCCATTACTGAGAGGTCGCCTAGTCAACTCCTGGTCAGAGCACATGTCTGGATTGTGGGCTCAGTCTCCAGTAGGGAGAGTGCAACAGGCAGCCAATCTATGTTTCTCTCTCCCTCTCTCTTCTTCTCTCTAAAATCAATAGAAAACATTTTTTTTTAAAGATTCCTGGTACCTACTTCAAAATTAGAGAATCATAATCCTGAGATGTGGGACTGGCATCATGCCTGTTTGACAAGTCCCCAGGAAATTTTTCTGTACACTGAAGACTGAGTGTAGTTTGAGAAAATGACTTTGTCTCTAATTCCTCATTTACTCATTGGAAAGCATTTCCTTACTTTAGTATGGGAGCAAAAACTTTAATGAAAACTATATATTCAAATGCTAAAAATAGATTTATAAATAATAGGAGGAGAGATTCTNTCATTTACTCATTGGAAAGCATTTCCTTACTTTAGTATGGGAGCAAAAACTTTAATGAAAACTATATATTCAAATGCTAAAAATAGATTTATAAATTCTTAGAAAGCCAAAATTATTCTAATTTACTGAATCAGATCATGATTCTTAGATTAAATATTTCATGATGTTTCCAGCACTTTGCACAAGTTATTTAATGTTTATTTTCTGTCACAATTGAACAAATCTAGTCTGTGAGCATTCTTAGGAGTTGAAAGTTTTCCCATATGTTCAATTTATTTTGTCCGCCTCAGTTCTATCATGAGCCCTATACTTCTTGTCACTACTGTCAAAACACTTTCATCTTTAAATTTTTCACTCAACTAAATAAAATAAGAAAAAATATAAAGGGTAATATTCAAATATTATAAAAAATACTGCTCTGCACCAAAATGACAACATATCAAAATTGAACTATTTGTTGTTAGACAATGCTATCATGTAAAAAAAAAAAAAAAAAAAA